TCATTTGTCCCAGAAACTGAGACTATGTCCCGCATTTCATTGACGGTTGCCCTTCTAAAACTTGGCTTTTATACAATGGCTTTGTAGAAAGCAGTAGGCTATTACCATGAGCTGTGTCCGATGTCAATCAACCAACACATTCTGGAAATGTATTCACTTATTAGAGCAGGAGCACATGCAGTATCTCAGCTTCAACAAGAGAAAAAAGACTTCTGCAAACGGTCATTATTGGAAAACGGGGTGCAGCTCCTCCTGACTAAATGAAGAAGCAATTTTTAGCCCCTCCATCCCTTCGTCTCCATAACAACTAAAGATCAGCGAGGACAGACTAATGGTCTGCAGAAAGAGGGAGCGAGGGAGGAAGAAGTGGGGGAGGAAATGACAGAGGGAGTGTGTGAAGTAAAAGAAGAACAAAGACGTATAAGAGAGGGAATCAGAAGGGGAATAGTTAGAGGTGTGAAACTCATATCAAATCTATTTCTGGATGCGTGATGACGGTGGGCTATTTTTACCCTTTCTCTCTTTCTCCCTGCCTTTTCTCTACCTTCTGTTAATTAAATCAGATCACGCTCTGTGTGTCTTCACACCAGAGACAGGAATAATTCTCACCGCTGCATCACGAGGATGAAATTGGTTTTGACTTGAAGTTTGCTTGACACTTTAAAACCAATTACTGCACCGTGCATTAAGATGTTTTTACTGCACATAAATCATGTGTTTATGAGTTATTATACATAATCCACCAATCAATAACCTTAAAAAATCTTCTTTGGGTCACATATTTGTCCTTTCTTCATGATAAAAGTGGATTAAATGAGTAAAATGATTTAGCTATCGTTGTTTTTTAACGGGTAGGAGAGAGATGTGCACTGAAGGTTAGGTTTTGTAGGCGCTACAGGGTAAATAATGTATTTTTTAAAAACTGGAGATATGACCAAAAGTGAATTTTTTTCAAAGTCATAATGACTGTATGAAAAATAAATATCATTTTTTCAAGATCGCAGAATTGTGATACTTTACATTTTTTTTTTATTATTAATCTTTGGGTTTTTCTGAAAATGTTGTTTTTTAAAGTTATTCTTCTCAGAATCTCAGTGTTTCATAAAATATATTTTGAATTGAGTTTTACCTCACTTCCCTGTCCTTCCCTCCCTTTGTTTCTCTCATGCAACTGAAAGGAGGAAAAAATGTGTGTTCATGTCAGAGGAAAGTGGACAAACAGAGTCAGAGGGTCAGGGGTAATTGGGAGAGAGGAAGGGAGGACACAGAAACTGCCTTTATTCTATCATCAGTTTGAAAGCTGAAGGTCACAGAGGACAAAACAACACAAAGTAAATTATAACTTTTTTTATGGGCCAGAATAAGAGTATTTTGAAGCTAATACTTTAAAGAGTCCTCTCCTGCTGATGTTTAGGTGTATATCAGTATGTAGTGTCTCTACTTTAAAGAGTCCTCTCCTGCTGATGTTCAGGTGTATATCAGTATGTAGTGTCTCTACTTTAAAGAGTCCTCTCCTGCTGATGTTCAGGTGTATATCAGTATGTAGTAACTCTACTTTAAAGAGTCCTCTCCTGCTGATGTGCAGGTGTATATCAGTATGTAGTGTCTCTACTTTAAAGAGTCCTCTCCTGCTGATGTTCAGGTGTATATCAGTATGTAGTGTCTCTACTTTAAAGAGTCCTCTCCTGCTGATGTTCAGGTGTATATCAGTCTGTAGTGTCTCTACTTTAAAGAGTCCTCTCCTGCTGATGTTCAGGTGTATATCAGTATGTAGTGTCTCTACTTTAAAGAGTCCTCTCCTGCTGATGTTCAGGTGTATATCAGTATGTAGTGTCTCTACTTTAAAGAGTCCTCTCCTGCTGATGTTCAGGTGTATATCAGTATGTAGTGTCTCTACTTTAAAGAGTCCTCTCCTGCTGATGTTCAGGTGTATATCAGTATGTAGTGTCTCTACTTTAAAGAGTCCTCTCCTGCTGATGTTCAGGTGTATATCAGTATGTAGTAACTCTACTTTAAAGAGTCCTCTCCTGCTGATGTTCAGGTGTATATCAGTATGTAGTAACTCTACTTTAAAGAGTCCTCTCCTGCTGATGTTCAGGTGTATATCAGTATGTAGTGTCTCTACTTTAAAGAGTCCTCTCCTGCTGATGTTCAGGTGTATATCAGTATGTAGTGTCTCTACTTTAAAGAGTCCTCTCCTGCTGAGGTTCAGGTGTATATCAGTATGTAGTAACTCTACTTTAAAGAGTCCTCTCCTGCTGATGTTCAGGTGTATATCAGTATGTAGTAACTCTACTTTAAAGAGTCCTCTCCTGCTGATGTTCAGGTGTATATCAGTATGTAGTGTCTCTACTTTAAAGAGTCCTCTCCTGCTGAGGTTCAGGTGTATATCAGTATGTAGTGTCTCTACTTTAAAGAGTCCTCTCCTGCTGATGTTCAGGTGTATATCAGTATGTAGTGTCTCTACATTAAAGAGTCCTCTCCTGCTGATGTTCAGGTGTATATCAGTATGTAGTGTCTCTACTTTAAAGAGTCCTCTCCTGCTGATGTTCAGGTGTATATCAGTATGTAGTGTCTCTACTTTAAAGAGTCCTCTCCTGCTGATGTTCAGGTGTATATCAGTATGTAGTGTCTCCACTTTAAAGAGTCCTCTCCTGCTGATGTTCAGGTGTATATCAGTATGTAGTGTCTCTACTTTAAAGAGTCCTCTCCTGCTGAGGTTCAGGTGTATATCAGTATGTAGTGTCTCTACTTTAAAGAGTCCTCTCCTGCTGATTTTCAGGTGTATATCAGTATGTAGTGTCTCTACTTTAAAGAGTCCTCTCCTGCTGATGTTCAGGTGTATATCAGTATGTAGTGTCTCTACTTTAAAGAGTCCTCTCCTGCTGATGTTCAGGTGTATATCAGTATGTAGTGTCTCTACTTTAAAGAGTCCTCTCCTGCTGATGTTCAGGTGTATATCAGTATGTAGTGTCTCTACATTAAAGAGTCCTCTCCTGCTGATGTTCAGGTGTATATCAGTATGTAGTGTCTCTACTTTAAAGAGTCCTCTCCTGCTGATGTTCAGGTGTATATCAGTATGTAGTGTCTCTACTTTAAAGAGTCCTCTCCTGCTGATGTTCAGGTGTATATCAGTATGTAGTGTCTCCACTTTAAAGAGTCCTCTCCTGCTGATGTTCAGGTGTATATCAGTATGTAGTGTCTCTACTTTAAAGAGTCCTCTCCTGCTGAGGTTCAGGTGTATATCAGTATGTTGTGTCTCTACTTTAAAGAGTCCTCTCCTGCTGATTTTCAGGTGTATATCAGTATGTAGTGTCTCTACTTTAAAGAGTCCTCTCCTGCTGATTTTCAGGTGTATATCAGTATGTAGTGTCTCTACTTTAAAGAGTCCTCTCCTGCTGATGTTCAGGTGTATATCAGTATGTAGTGTCTCTACATTAAAGAGTCCTCTCCTGCTGATGTTCAGGTGTATATCAGTATGTAGTGTCTCTACTTTAAAGAGTCCTCTCCTGCTGATGTTCAGGTGTATATCAGTATGTAGTG